ATATTTATTCAGTTTTTTAATTATTCACAGTAAAATTATTGACTAATGTGAAAATGTTCATCTGATTTATGTACAACGCAGTTTGTACAGTAATATTTTCTGTCTTTTAGTAGAGATATTATATAAGAGACTTGCTTTGTTCACCAAATAAAGTGAATCTAATTGGATTTGCATTTTAAACATCAAATTAAAGTTAAAAATATATTAAAAGTATTAAAATATATATTTTTATTTCAGATATTTAGGTTTTGGTTATGATACTCCCAAAATAATTCAGCAAAAATCTCCAGATTTTTACCAAAATTCTCTTCAGAAATAGCAAAAAACATCTGCAGATTCCACATGGCCCTTCTAGTGAGTTAATGATTAAGGTTTTGAATAATGTTATACAAATAAAAAACTCAAACGGCTAACCAGAAATGGTCCTTGGAAAAAAAAAATAAAAAATTGTTTTTAGATATAAAAATCTCCCCAGAAATAACTGAGTGAACTCCCTTTAAGCTGTCTTTTATTGTGCTTTTACTGTTGTGATTCTAAAATAATTGTGCAATGTAATTGGTCCCCATAACATAATTATATTCAGTTTGCAATAAGTCAATATGTTAAAAAAATAAATAAATAAAAAATAAATAAATAAAATGTAGGTGAAGTTAGAATTATTAGCCGTCCTCAATTATTAGCCCTGACTATTATTAAATTTCTTTTCAGCATATTTCTAAACAATAGTTTTAACATGTAATTTCTAATAACTGATTTCATTTAACTTTACCATGATGACAGTATATAATATTTTACTAGTTTTATTTTTTCGAGACATTTTATTTTATTTTACATTATTATTCAGGTATAAGTGTTATTTAAAGGCTTAAGGTTAATTAGGTTAAGTTAGGGTAATTAGGCAAGTCATTGTATGACAGTAGTTTGTTCTGCAATCAATCAATCAATCAATCAATCAATCAATCAATCAATCAATCAATCTTTCTATCACAGAAATTTTCACAGTATGTCTGATAATATTTTTTCTTCTGGAGCAAGTCTTACTTGTTTTATTTCCGCTATAATAAAAGCAGTTAAAAATTTTTTTTAAAGCCATTTTAAGGTCAAAATTATTTTTACTCTAAGCTATATATATTTTCTGATAGGCTACAGAACAAACCATCGTTATACAATATCTTGCCTAGTTTACCTTATTAACCGTAAGCCTTTAAATGTCACTTTAAGCTGTACAGAAGTGTCTTTATTTCAAATATTATTGCTGTCATCATGGCAAAGATAAAATAAATCAGTTATTAAAGTTATTAAATAAGTTATAAAAACTATTATGTTTAGAAATATGTTGAAAAAGTCTTCTCTCCGTAAAACAGAAATTGGGGAAAAAATAAACAGGGGTGCTAATAATTCAGGGGGGCTAATAATTCTAACTTCAACTGTCTATAACTTAAGGGGGCTAATAATATTGACCTTAAAACAATTTTAAAAACTGCTTTATCTACAAAATGCATAAATTATCACAATACGAACAACCATATTTCTCAATCTGGCACCACTCTGCTATTTGTATTGGAAAGTCATCTATTGGAAGTAATGGCATTTGAATGGCTTGTATATTGTGACAAATCTATTTGATCAGGGTGTATTTATGTCCTACAGCAAGTATAATTTAAAAGGAAAGGATGATTTTTGAAAATACCTTCAAATACGAAAATGTGTCTCCACAAAAATCCAAGACACAGACAGAAACCATAACCTATACTTTCAGTCACTGCCTTATCTTCAACAAAAAGCCTCTGTTTTCTACAGTATGACCAACCATGTGCTCAGCAATGACTGCATCCACTTAAAGAAAATTTGAGGAAAGGATATCCAGTATGCGATAGAACATGAGGAATGGAAAATTATTTTGTCAAATACTAGTAAATACATAAGAGAAGCTGGAGGACAATTTACTTAGTATAAAATTATACAGAGGTATAACTTCACATCTGTTCGACTTAATATAATGGGTTTGGCAAGTAATAATGTTTCTTTGTATTTGGGACCTACTAGTTCACTAGTTCAGCTTTTTTGGCACCAAACCCTAAATATTCTGAGTAAATGACTTGGAACATTAATACCACTGTGACCAAGGTTGTGCTTACTGGGAACAGCCAAATATGCCAAATATTATAGAAGGGATGGTGGGGATTTCAGTGATGGCTAGAGTCATGTTAATACACTGGAAAACTCCCAAAATTCCAGAGTTAAAAGAATGGGTCAATATAATGACTTAAACAGCTTCAAATGAACGTTTACTTTACAAATTACATTATAAGGACAAAGTAGGGGTCCCTGTATTCCAGTGTGGGAAGACTTCTGTCTTTTCTAATGTGTACTTATTACACTGTATACATCCTGGCTTTACATTTAGTAGGCCCACCAGTGATCAATTGAAATATGTGTTTGCATTCTTTTGTTATTAACCAAAAAAAAAAAAAAAAAAAAAACTTGAATTAAAAAAATATTTGTATTTTAGTTTAATATTTTAACTTTTATTTTAGTCGAAATAAAACGAATAAGTCTTTCTTTTAAAAAAAAAAATTAAAAATAATATATATATATATATATATATATATATATATATATATATATATATATATATATATAGAAAATACTGTGAAAAATTCCTTTGTTTAATTGTTGAAATGTTCCTCAATGAAACAAAATCCTTTTTTTCCCTAAAGATCATTAACAAGTTGGAACATTTATTTTTAAAGGTATCGAAAAAAAGAGCACTTAAGTGATTACCTATAAATTTTTTAGCAAACTGAGGTAAATAATGTTGAAATAACTTACTGTATTAGAGCTTTCACTTGTCCTGATATGCCCAATGGAAGGTGTTTATTGGTTGACCCGCCAACAGAGTATTACTACTGACACTTGATTTCCAACCTGATGTAACCTGTTTACTCTAATCTGGGATCAGTTGATGGAAAGCCTTAGGTAAGACTTCTTATATATGGTATATATAGCCAGGGAACAGTGTCGAAAGGTCAAAATGACGCTGACTATTGGAGAAAGCCACCTGACAGATTACAGAACTGCTTCAACAATTACAAAAAAAAGTCCAAATCATCCTTTGCATGCATCCTTTGAGGTTGGTCTCTCTGGGTTATTACTTGTTTACAAAGGAACCAAGGAACCATTACAATGAAAAAAAAAAAAAAAAAAAATTAATTGGATTTTTTTTAAGGTAAGTAGTTGCTAACAATTTATATTGGCTGAATTAAAACAAACTAATAAAGTTGAACATTAACATTGAACATTTTTTTTGTTTAAATTGTTCCCATATAAACTGTATGCAAGCACAAACCTTTACATTTTTATTTAAAATCCAACTAATGATTTTTTTCAGTGTACTTGTAATTTTGGAATCTGATTTTCGAAAGTGGACACAATAATTAAAAGTTCATGCATTGACAATAAAATAATACATTTAAAAATATATACAACACAGCTCCAGATGGATGGATGGATGGATGAATGGATGGATGGATGGACAAATGGCTAGGTGAACAAAAGGATAGACAGACAGACAGACAGACCGATAGACAGATAGATAGATAGATAGATAGATAGATAGATAGATAGATAGATAGATAGATAGATAGATAGATAGATAGATAGATAGATAGATAAACAAAATAAGAATGGATGCAAATGGCTAGATGAACGAAAGGATAAATAGATGAACGAAAGGATGGATGGATGAATGAAAGGATGGATGGATAGATCTATGTACCTATCTATCTATCTATCTATCTATCTATCTATCTATCTATCTATCTATCTATCTATCTATCTATCTATCTATCTATCTATCTATCTATCTATCTATCTATCTATCATCTATCTATCTATCTATCTATCTATCTATCTATCTATCTATCTATCTATCTATCTATCTATCTATAGATAAATGAAAGGATGGATGGATAGGGAAATACATGAATGAAAGGATGCATGTATAGAAAGATAGATAAAAATATCCTAAAAAAAATCCTATCTTCCTTTCTTTTATCTATCTATCTATCTATCTATCTATCTATCTATCTATCTATCTATCTATCTATCTATCTATCTATCTATCTATCTATCTATCTATCTGTCTATCTGTCTGTCTGTCTGTCTGTCTGTCTGTCTGTCTGTCTGTCTGTCTGTCTGTCTGTCTGTCTGCCTATCTATCTATCTATCTATCTATCTATCTATCTATCTATCTATCTATCTATCTATCTATCTATCTATCTATCTATCTATCTATCTATCTATCTATCTATCTATCTATCTATCTATCATCTATCTATCTATCCGTCTACCATAATGTACCATGAAAGATACTTGTCTGGGAGCTAAAAAATAACTAAATAGCCTATATAACTAAGGAAGAGTCTGTGTGTTCTCATAACAGAAGCTTTAAAAAACAACTCCAAAATGGGACATTTGTTGATTGCGAGCGAAATTCTTACTCGAACACCACTTATGGGGATAAAATAGCCTTATTGACGTATTTATAGAATTGGTCGCTCGCTGCTTGAAGACAAAGCGCATGAGTTTTCGCAGTGCTCTGAACGAGCGATCCCGCTGTTACTATAGCGACAAACCGGCGAGATGAAGCCCCGGTTCACGTGTACTCCGCTGACCCAGAGGAACCCCTCTCTCAGACTGCAGCAAATCCCGGCCAATGAACACCAAGATCATTCATGCCGAGTGCTTTTATTCACAATTCCGCCAGGCTTGCTCATTCTTGCTTTCAAGAACGGGTTTGGCTGATGATGAAAAACTCCACAGAAAATAAAGACAGACTTGCAGAGAAGTAAACAGGATGTGTCTAATGGTAAATTAATAGTGGATAAATAATAACATCCCCCCCCAAAACTATCATCTGAAAGCATTTTTTTTTTTTTACAAAAGTTTAAACGTTTGTTATATATTCTATCATTTAATAAACTCATGCATGGGCTATCCATCAACAAAACCAGTCAGACTGGGTTTTATTTAATTCAAACAAAAGCACTGACAAAAATCATGTCAGAATAGAAAGTAAACTCCAATCACAATCTATTCAGTCTTCTCAAACCAATTTAAATCAAAAACCGTCACGGATTGGCACAAGTAGAACATCTCAATGAAGAGAAAACGCATTCAAGTTTTACATTCAGAATGGCTGGAGGCATTGGCCTGTCAATTCAGCAGCATGAGCACAAACGGGTCAGCACCTTGGATAGTTCCATTCACAGCTCTTCAAATGTAGCTCTATCCTCCTAAAACCCCGTTTTTAACGACCTTTAAGGCTTCGTACGTTTCAAACAGACTTCATATATGTAATAACGCTGCCAATATAATTAAATCATTTGTACTTTAGAACTACAAAGGTAAATTTGATCTATAGTGCTGGGTTGGCCAGACATCCCTTTTCTGGACAGTTTCATTTCAGGTAAATCTTTAGTGCTTACCTTTAGTGCTTTTATGTTTTCTAAAATCTCTGAATTTCAGAGTTTCAAGTATCTCCTGTCATAACCCAGTAAACGTAGTCAATAACGTTCAAAAGCAAACATTACTTTAAATCAAAGTTCCTTTGTGGATTAATGTGTAGTGTTTTGTGGAAACACCTAAATTAACTTCCGAGACTTTTTAAAGAATCATAGGCTACTTTCTAAGTGCATAAAAACTGAAATGCATGAGGTCTTACATAATCCCTCAATCAGTGTTTAACCGCGAAATGACGTCAATAACAAAGACTGTAAACAACGTCACCACCATGTCACATTTACCTCAAAAAAGGCAATTAGTGTTCATTGCTCATTTGTTTAGCAATGTTTTACTAAATTAATATATTAATTCATTCATTCGTTATCTTTTCGGCTTAGTCCCTTTATTAATCTGAGGTCGCCACAGCGGAATGAACCGCCAACTTATCCAGCATGTTTTACGCAGCGGATGCCCTTTAAGCCGCATTCCATCACAGGGAAACGCTAAAATATATATTCATTAATATAATAGATTTGTTGGGTTTTTTTTGTAAACATTGCATATAGTGATTATTACCTATACTTTGATGACTGTGGAATATCTGAAAAACCTGGCCACCCTATCTACACTATATATGCCTAAAAAAAAACAAGTTTGTGGGGGTCTCAGGAGGATATAGTGACCCAGATAACCGAGAAACGAGTACAGAGCATTGCCATTTATATAAGAATAAACGTTAATGTGCCTTCCCATTTTATGAATGACAGTGAATGACAGGTACAAATATGTCATGCATTTAGCTGCATCTAGCCATGTCGGCTTTTAGGTAGCCTACTAATACTCTTGAAAACAAAGCCAACAAAATAAATATTGTCTTAAATAGCATTAATAAATCAGCTCATTGTGCAACACAAGCAGAGATTACATCAATAATAATTGATCTCCGCTCAGACTTTGATCTCACTCAGCGGTCCAGTTCGCTTGCATCCTTCTTATAATCTCCTTCGTTTTTTAAGTCTTGAAAAACCTCTGTGAAAAAGTGCGGATCCATGTTAATCTGCAGCATTTTGCCACTCAGTTTATCGATGACATCAAGCGAACGATCCCAAAACACGTCCTTATTGGTGTCGACCATGAAGGGCTTGAGAGGGTACGATATCTCGTTGCCTATATAGGAATACGCCAAATACAGACATGTCAGAAAGGTCCCGTGGAGTTCACGTGGACTGTCAACATCATCGGTCACAGTTTCCCTAACGAGCAGATAGACGAACACGAGGTTGGCAGGCGTAATGAACCCTTGGTCCTGCCAGCCCTGCAGAAGCAAAGTCCTGTCCACATTTCGGAACCAGAGGATGACCTCATTCGGGGTGAGTTCCTTCATTTTGCAGCAGCGTTTGCATAGAAATTCGCCCAAGCACCGGAGCAGTTCCCCAGTGGAGGCCTGGACGACCACGCGCCTGGGAGAGATGAGAGACCGGCTGCTGGGCTGCTTCTGAACCGACACCAGTTGCTTCGCCGCCGGAGTACACTGTTCCTGCTCCTGCTGGGGAGGAACCGTGGGAATTGGCACCGCGAGAGGTCCATTTTTCGTTTTCCGCTCAGTGCTGGTCGGCTGTTGGGATTTCCTGGAGTTCTCCTGGTTCAGATGCTCGACTTGACTTTCGCTGCTCGTCGGGAGAGGATTCGGGTTTACTTTCTTGGCACTTTTTTTCTTACTTGACGCAGTCACTAACCGCTTAAATGTGAGCGTGGACACGATCACCGATTGCTTTTTAAGGCTTTTCTCTATTCTCCCATCGGCTTCGTCGTCTCCTTCTTCCAGAATGGAGCCTTTAGTTGCTATCGGGGATATAGAAAGCACGGTCCCCATAACGCAGAGCGCGCGACAAAACGTTACGATACGGCCCCGCGCGCGCGCCGAAACGTCGAGCTCGAGCGTTTATCAGATCACAAGTGTTGCTCCATTTGGTTAGTAAAACAAGCTGGTGGACTGACTGTCCATCAGAAAGTGAATTCCAGTGCAGTCAGACAGCCCCTCCGCTTGTTCTGCTGTAGAGACCGCAAGACAGTCCTGCATTGCTTGCCTCAACTAGAACGGATTTGTGGTGAGCCAAACCAATCTGACATCAGCTTCTGTTAACAGGGATTATCCCATCGTGTCTGGGTAATTAGCCAACCTCAGGGCTACTGAAGACGAATGACAGTCTGAAGCACCAATAGAAGCAAAGGCCCGTGTCCACATTATCACTTCTAGGTAGCATTTTTAGACGGCATAAACCAAGTATAGTCTTGCTATTCCCAGACTGGGCGCAAATCTCTGCTCAACTATACTGCATTTAACCTACTTAGTACTGAAATAGTATGTATAACACCAAAGAATAAAACAAAGGCAAATATCGAGAACTTATATGTGTCCTTAAATTGACTTATTCATTTTATTTTTTTACTCATTATTTTGCCTTTGTTTTGAATAAAGTTTGGTAAAATTGACGTTAAAATTTCAACATCATTTCTTTTCACAGATTTGTTACACTGTCTATGATTAATAGTTACTATGGGGACTTTAAGGACATGCCATTACAGCAAATCATTAACTAACTAAATAAATAAAATGGTAAAGGGATTCTCCCTAGAATAGTGGTGAATAATCCCTTAATTTGACTTTCGTCTTGTTGGCAAAATTTCAGAACTATATGCATTTTAATTGCATTTGTAGTATGCTTTGTATACTGAGAAATGAGTATGAACATTTTAAAGTAACAATGCAAAAAAAAAAAAAATGACCCTATCAAATGCATTGTTCAATGTATAAATGTTGTAATCGTAGACGTAATGAAAGATATTCAAGTGTATAATAAATACAAATAAACAGTGCCATTATGTAAACTGTAATTTAAAGGTTCAAAACCTCTAATAATTCATTATTTTAGCAGTTTTTATTAGGACCGTTAAAGAAATCTGTCAGTAAATGTGGAAAGAATGTAAATATATACGCTTTTTTGACAAATGACCTAAATGTGTTTAAAATTGATGCATCAGGGTAACAAAATATTAGTTTTAAAAACATTTTAGAAAGAAAAATCAAACTTAAATCAATTAATAATAATAATAATAATAATAATAATAATAATAATAATAATAATAATACTAATAATATGACACAATATACTCTGTGTACACTCTACAATATATTCATTTGACAGATATATTTTGACAGACAGATACAGGGTTGTATTTCGGGTCAACAGAATTGTCCATAAAATTATTTGATAATATATGACCACTCTAACTCACTGCAAATGTTTTTGAAGTTTGAAAACAACTTACTGAGAGCTAATTTCCTACTTTGTCCTGGCAGAAATGCACGTTACATGAGTAGTTTCCATGAGATTAGGAAAGGACCCAAATTAATTCCAGGATCAAGCTGCTCTATCTCTCCTAAATCGGGATTAAAGCAGTCAATATTAACCTTTGCTCTATAGTTAGCCTAACTTTAACATGCTTCATCTACTAATTTATTTATATAAAAAGGCAGGTGTGTAGAGCAGGGGTCTCAAACTCAAACTGGCAGTGGGCCATTGCAGTGACTGACAACTCGTGACGTTTTCACATTCCAGCACAAGAAATAAAGTAGAAACCCGATGCAATTAGTGCATCTTACACTCTCAGAAATAAAGGCACGCAAGCTGTCACTCGAGTGGTACCTTTTCAAAGATACAAATTTGCACCTAAAAGGTCCATATTAATACATCAGTGGTAAATATTGGTACCTAAAAAGTGTAAAAGTTTCTCTTAAATATTTTAGGTACTTATATATACTTTTGAGGTACCAATATGGACACTTTAAGTACAAATGTGTACCTTTTGAAAAGGTACCACGCCAGTGACAGCTCGCATACCTTTATTTCTGAGAGTGTAGGACAACAAGAATGATGTTTCTATTTCAAGCATTACCTGTCACTAGTGATTATCATTTATTCATTCATTTTCTTGTCGGCTTAGTCCCTTTATTAATCCGGGGTCGCCACAGCAGAATGAACCGCCAACTTATCCAGCAAGTTTTTACGCAGCGGATGCCCTTCCAGCCATAACCCATCTCTGGGTAAACCAGTGATTATGCAAAAGCATGTTTGTTATGTCACACAGCTGCTGAAAATTCCTGCAGAATCCACAGTTACTTGCTAGCAGTTTGCCAGTAACTTACCGTAAATCAACTACAGTAAAAATACTGTATTTATTTACAGCACCATTCATCTCACTGAATATGCACTTACATTGTTACCGTATTTACATTTATAAAAATCATTAATATTGCTTTGTTAACAATGTTCTGAAGAATCTACAGTAACATTGTAAATCAATAACACCAAATATAATTCATTTACATTTACAGCACTATCTCGCTGTATATGAATTTACAGTCTTGTATATCTTTACTCAACAATATACAGTAATTTTCACAATTAAAGGATTCGGATTTCTGCTTTCCAGTCCATCTCATCATGGACCAACGTTTATCCTTTTCATCATCCTGTTTCTCAGTATTTAACTGTGAATTGATTTTAATTAATGAATAGGTTAACACATTGCTTAAAATAAGAATGTTCAGGGCATTTGCCTGTCTCTTTATAACTATTTTCAGAAGCCACCAAACTAGGTCAGAGGCCAAGGAGACCTTGAGTGGAACTGAGGGCTGAGGACTGGAATCAACTGTTTCTATTGTTTTTTTGACGAGTTAATACTGTCTAAAATGTCTAAAGTGATTTTGCTATTTTTACGGTTAATTCTTTTAAAGGGATTCTACTTTTTTTTCAAGATAGACTTGGTGTAGTATGGATCAAACTGCCTGAATGTAGATTCTACCGGTTTTTAACCAGTTTTGATAAAGACGGCTGAGAGCACACTCAGCCTTGGATAAGAAACGGATTATACTTTATGTGTGTGTTCTATTTGATTGTTGATCCGTTTTACAGGTCTGGAGTCAGCTCTAATCAGTCTAAGGGATGTCTGACGTTTATGCTTAAGATAATGTTCAGAATATACAATCAAACCCCACATGGAAATGTTCCTAGTCTATCTGTGTTTTAACCAATCAGGTTAGAACACCTATGTATGACGCAGTTAATGATGTTATGTGAGAGTATAATTGTTATAGGTGATTGTAAGCAGAGCGGCCTAGGAACTCATTGCGAGTGTTGAAGCTGGCTTCTGTGGATTTAACTGCAAACTATCTTCAGTAAACTTGATTTATTTATTTAAGTCTCTGACTCCGGCTTTTCTTCATCTACCAGACTGGTCATTCTTTGGGTCAATCTGTAAACTATCCCTACACAATGCAACTTTAAAATACAGGTACATACTGCATAACTGTCCTACAGCAAAATACAGTTCACATTACAGTTAAATACCGTGTCATTTACAAAAATTGTTTACAGTGTGTATGGCTGACCATTAGACACACAGGGCCCTATCATACACCCGGTGCAATGCGGCAGGACGTAATTGTTGTTTGCTAGTTTCAGCTCGGCGCATGAGTCGGTTTGACGTTTTGCACCACGTTGTTTAAATAGCAAATCCATTTGAGCTTATTTGTGCACCCATAGGCGTTCAGGTCTAAAAAAGGAGGCATGTTAAGATGCATTGTTAGCGCATTGCTATTTTGACGATCTAAAATAGACTGCACAATGAACCATCTGAGAGGAGGTCTAAAGTCCAGCGCAGATCGCGTTAGTTGTGTGCCTCGCTTAAACATTGCTTAATACACACAGGATGTACAGCAATACGCAAATATATACAAATAAAAAAAGAATCAAAGGAATAAAATATAAAAAAAATGATTATTCTTTACATAAATATAAAAACCACTGCCTTCAAGCCTTCTTCTTCTCGGGGGGCTTTTTCATGACAATTTGCTTCTGTATAATGTTATTTTTATTATTAGCAGTATTATTTATTATATGCATATTTATATTTGCTTTATTAAAAACAACCTTAGATTTGCCCACCTTTCAGGTTTTAAACTATATGGGGCACAGCATGTGTATTTGGATATATATGTTTTTTGACCACACTTTGTTATTATTGTTCATTTATTCGTTTGCTAGGAATTAGAACTGAATTTAGAAATAGGTTTGTAACAAAGCTTTGCGCTTAACAAATTAAATTAATTATGTAGGCTTAATTCCTTAACCATGAAAGAGATTGAAAGTAAAGAATGAGGAGGCTCATCTCTCATTCTCAAGCTGCAGATGCTCTGTTTAACTGTTTTCTCTTTAGTCAAGTTTTTTCCACTTACAAAGTCCGCCACGTAAATTGCAAATGCGCCACAGCACAATGCAACTGACTCTTAAAGGGAATGGGAGATGATATTTTGATTGGTTTATTCTCAAAACACACCCATAACTCATTAAAGGTGCAGTAGGTGATCTTCTACAATGCTAACAGTTTAGCATTAATCTCTGAATCACCTCCCCTGCCGTTTAGAGCCATGCCTCCTGAAACAGGAGCACCGCAAAAGAACCCTCTCTCATGTGTTAAAAGCGACTAGTGCTTGTCTGGGGGCGTGCAAGCTAAACTGACATGCTATTTCAGAACAAATATTTAGAGTTGCATGGTAAACAATATAGGGAGAGACTAGGCGGAATAGCGCTATTTACTTGTTTTGTTGTTAAACTAGTTAAAATCTACATCACTGATGCTGTAAAAGGTCCCGTATGAAACTGAAAATAGTCGTATCAGTCTTTCACTGTAAGATTTAAGTGGCTGAACAACACTTCTGTGAAGATATAACCCATTTGTAACAACAACATCTAACGTTACATCAGCTTTGGGTGAAGCTAAAAAAGTTTTAAATCAGAACATTACCTGTCTAAAAGAAATCCTTCAGACATGGTGTCATCCTTTCTCCAGCGTGCAAAGGTAACTCCAATATTGATTCAGGTTTTTAAAAAGATTTGATTCAGCAGGTTTTTACCGATCGCGCGCGCATGCTCTCTCTCGTGAACGCGTGGCGGTCAGCGAAGCTGCGTACAAATGGCTGCGCAGTTGTTTAAATCTGCATTTGCTGACAGACAGATTGGGCTACTTATCA